TTTCTCCTGCTCTTCCGGCCTGCTACTCTGGGCGGCCTGAGTTTCCCCTCCTCACCTAATCCCTTCGGCTGATTGCTCTTCTGTCCAGGTTCAAGGCTTTTATCCCCTTCCCTGCTCTTCCGGCCTGCTACTCTGGCATCCCTGCATTGTCTCTCCTCCTTTAGCTACATACGGTGGCTGCAATGATGAGCTCAATATAGCAGGGATTGTGGGGCTGGCGCAGGATAGGGCAGTGTTTCATTCTGCTGTGCATGGGGTCGCTATGAGTCGGAAACGACTCGACGATACTTAACAACAACAACAACAACAACATGATGCTGAACAGGCTTCAGCAAAGCTTCCGGACTGAGATGGACTAGGAAGAAAGGTCTGGCAATCTGCTTCCAAAAAGCAGTCAGTAAAAACCCTACAGGTCACAAAATTCTCATCATTAACCAGTAATGGGGATGGCACAAAACTGGGCAGAATTTTATCTATTGTGCATGGGTTTGCCATGGGTCTGGGGTGACTCAATAGCAACTAACAACAACAGCAGCAATATTTTGATATTAGAGACATTGGGAATGCTTTTGCTTTCTTTATGCTCTTCTCTGAATTTTCTATAATGTGGCTGGCACAGATTAAATTATATCCACAAAAATATATGTCAAGGTGGCTTGGCCATGATTCTCAGTGATTAGGCAGTCATGGAATGCTATAATTTGGCAGTTATGTAATGATGTAATCCCCCATGATGTGATCTGACGTCATCAGCCAATCAGTTGTAAGGGGATTATGGTGAGATGCTACACCCTTAGTCAGGTCACTGACTGAGAGAGAAGTGAGCAGAGACTTACTACCACCGAGAAAGAAGAGCCAGGAGCAGAGCATGTTGTTTAGAGCCAGGGTTCCTGCACTGAGAACCTCCTAGACCCAGGGGAAGATTGATGCCAAGGCATATGGAGATCTCCAAGGAACACTGGGCCCAAAGAGATTGAAAGGAAACAAGAACCTTCCCTTACAGCTGACAGAGAGAGATAGTGGGTGCCCTGAGAATCTATCCTCCTGATCTGTGAGAGAAAAAATTCTGTTTGTCATGTGGTATTTCTGTTACAGCAGCACTAGATCACTAAGCAGTGGCTATGCTATTCCATAATGAAAAGTAATTTTAATCAAAACTCTACACCTGGAGGAGACAATCCCCTCTCCCGAAAAAAAGAAGTGGGAAAACGAGCAATCCTCAAAAGGTAGAAGTTGGAGCTCTGACCCCAACAGCCCCACCGTGGCCCCTCCCACTTACTAGCCCTGTGTCCTTGAGCAATCAACAGTGTGTTTATTCAACCCACTTGTATTAAAACTGCCCAGGAGCACTGCAAAATGGAAGCATCGTAGGTGGTTGAAAGCAGAGAAGCTGACTTTGCAGCTGATGGCTCTGCAATTTCCCTCTCACCAGGACCTACGTGGGAATAACCATCTGCAGATCAGTAATTAAACCCTTAGGTTCTCACAGGCCTTTCCAATTCTCAGGTGGCTTTTACCAGCATTAGTTCCTCCTCACACCACCACTGCATGCCCTCATCTTACACACAAGGCAGCTAAGGCTTAGAGATACTCACCAACATCACAAATGAGAAAGCTCCTAGGGTGGTGCCTGAGGCACAGTAGGGACTCAAGAAAAGTTATGCAACTTGGCTTAAAGCATTTTTTGTTTTCTTTTAGTCCCCTGATTGTTTTTTTCTTCCTTTCCAAGTGGGACCTCAGTCACCTCATCAGTAGGATGGGTGACCAAACTCACTGAGTGCAGATGTTCCTCCCAGCGTCAGAGGAGGGGCAGAGTGGGCAGGAGAAGGAAGAAGCCTGAGGTGGCTGCAAGACTAGAGAGAGGAAAACAAATGCTGCCTCCCTCCGCTATGCATTCATCAGGCCAACTCAGCCACGCTCAGACAGGGAAGTTCATCCCCAGAATGGTACAGCTGTCAGTTTGTCACATCCCAGATCCTATAGCCCCTCTCTGACTCATGGCCAGCACCCTAAGCCAGGCCACATCATCTCATCTGGACTGCAGTGGCTCCCACTGGCCCCACATCCTTCCTCACTCCTGCCCCTGCCACCCCCCAATTGCACTCCCAGAATGGGCTGCTGTGACCCTACTGAGTCGCCCCTGCACAGAAGCCTTCCTGGGTCGCCCAGTACTCTGATGTCTGTCCTGTCTCTCCTCCCCAGTCTCACTGCAGCTGTTCTTGGCTTGAACTTGGCCTTCATCTGCATCTCACTGAGGGCACACACTGTCTACCCCACTAATTCTGGCAGTAACTCTCCTTCTGCCCCAAGCACTGTTTTCTAGCCACAGCCCTAATGGGATGTGCCCTCTGGCTATGTCAGGGGTTCACTTAGGTAGACGTCTCTTCCTCCAGGAAGGCTGCCCTCACTCCCAGGCTAGATAATGCCCCACTGTGGGTGCATGCAGCCCCTTGCTCTTCCCTTAAAAACCAAACTCACTGCCATCGACTCAATTCCAACTCATAGTGAGCCCCTTTGGGTCTCTGAGGTGGTAAGTCTTTACAGAAGTAGATTGACCAGTTTTCCTTCCGTAGAGTGCCTGGTGGGTTTAAACCACAAACCGTCTGGTCAAATGCCTTAGGCACTATGCCACCATAGACTGTAAGCTCTGTGAGGGCAGGAACCTTCACTTGTTCACCATTTTGTTGTCAAATAAAAACTCATCCAGATTGAGGTAGAGAGAAGCTTTATTCAGACAGCGAAGGGCAAAGAGAGATGACTGTAATAGTGGGGGATGGGGCTACTGCAATAGGGAAAACATTTGAACTACACAGATTTGCAAAGAGTTAAGGAAACAGCAAAGCATTTTTCTTTCATGGAGATTGAGATTAAACCAGGCTGGAGGGGGAAAAAAAAAAAAAAAAAACAGGTGTGAAGAAGTGAGATAAAGGGTGATGTCATCGGATAGTAAGTATGTTTTAAGCTGCGACCAGCCAGCTGGTTCTCTGGGAAAACACAAAACAAAATCAAGCCTGCTGCTATTTAGTCTATTCTGACTCATGATGACCCCTTGTGTTGCAGAGTAGAATTGCTCCATAGGGTTTTCTTGGCTATAATCTTCATGGAAGCACATCACCAGGTTTTTTCTTCTGAAAGCCCTCTGGGTGTGTTCAAACCTGGAACTTTTCCATTAGTAATAGAGTGTTTAGCCATTGGCAAGGAGTTTTGATAGCTAACCAGAAGGCTGGCAGTTCAAACCTACCAGCCACTCCTTGGAAGGAAGGTTGAACAATCTACTTCTGTAGTGATACCACCTTGGAAACCCAAGGAGGGGTTGCTATGAGTCGGGTCCCACTCGGCACATAACAACAACAACAGCAGCCATTGGCATCTCCCAGGGGCCCCATCAGTATTCATAGGCACTCAATAAATCTTTGTGGGCTGCCAAGTGTCTGTTCAGCTCCCCGAGGATCATAAAATAATAGAATTTGCAAGCTGTGGTCTCTAACTTGAGGAGCCCTGGTGGTGCAGTGGTTAAAGTACACGGCTGCCAACCAAAACGTTGGCAGTTAGAAACCCTACCTACTCCATGGGAGAAAGATGTGGCAATCTGCTTCCGTAAAGATTACAGCCTTGGAAAAATCTGAGGCAGTTCTACTCTGTTGTGTAGGGTTTCTGTGAGTCAGAATCGACTCAATGGCAGTGGGTTTGGTTTGGGTTCTAATTCTGCCTCTAACTAACTTCTCATTTATCCATAAAATGAAGAGTTGGACAAGGTCTTTGTGGTCTCCTCTGCTCTAGTGCACAGCTAGTCAGCGTGGTCCAAGGACGAGCAGCACCAGTGTCACCTGGGAGAGGGTTAGAAATGCAGACTGTCAGGCCCCACCACAGTCCTGTTGAGGCAGAATTCCTGGCGGTGGGGTACAGCCATCAGTGTTTAACAAGCCCTCCCTCCAAGGGATGCTGACACACCAAGAAAAATTTGAGAAACATGAGTGGGGAAGATGCTAGGACTGAGGATACACTTTGCCACCCCTGCAGGTGGATTTTGAAGACGTGATCGCCGAGCCTGTGGGCACCTACAGCTTTGACGGCGTGTGGAAGGTTAGCTACACCACCTTCACCGTCTCCAAGTACTGGTGCTACCGCCTGTTGTCCACACTGCTGGGCGTGCCGTTTGCCCTGCTCTGGGGCTTCCTCTTCGCCTGCATCTCCTTCTGCCACATCTGGGCTGTGGTGCCCTGCATCAAGAGCTACCTGATCGAGATCCAGTGCATCAGCCACATCTACTCCCTCTGCATCCGCACCTTCTGCAACCCGCTCTTCGCTGCCCTGGGTCAGGTCTGCAGCAGCATCAAGGTGTTGCTGCGAAAGGAAGTCTAAAGCCAGGTGGGGCGATGGGGGTGGTAGGGCAGGGGAGGCAAGCTACACTGACCCCGTGGGACTGCTCCACAGTGCTGCGCTGCTAGGGAGCGTTTTCTCTTTAGGCACTGCACACAGTTTGGGGGAGCCAGGAAGAAAAGACAGCCCAGGCACACAGAAGCACAAGAGTCTCTCCCTCTGCCACAGCCCCTCCACAAGGCCCAGTCATGACCGGGGGGTGAGGGAATCACTTGCTAAGAGGGCAGCTACTGCAAGTCTTTGCATTCACTTGTACTGTACCAGCGTAAAGCTGGGGTCAGCCTGTCCATGTACGCCCAGAAATGCACCCAGGAACTGTTGGCGTTAGGAAGGGGGCTCCAATAAAGGGTTTTGACTGCATTCAGGGGACTTCTGTGTTTTGTTTGTATCCATAAAGTTGGTATGTGTCCTGCAAAATACATTTCACAAATATATATTTCTGCAAAAATATATTTCACTGTCCTGAGAAACAGAAGTGGAAAATGTTTGTTGGTTCTTCTCCTGGCCAAATCCAAGGACCAAAATAGACTTTGATTGTTCTTGAGTTTCTTCTTGTTTGCTGGGTATTTGCTCCCATGTGTTCATTATGAGATCATTTCCTACTAACTGCTATGACCCCAGGCCAACCAGTGGATACCAGCAGAGGGAAATGGCCCTTGAGCTGGTAGGGACTGGTGGGCATCACTGGGTAGTTCTGAGGGCAGAGCTTGGGCTCAAGCGTCTCTGAGCCTCCCCACTGGCTCACCAGACCCCAAGAACCTGACATACCTGGCACACTGGACACATGTACACCTCCAACCCTAAGAGATACACAGAAGGGAGAAGGTCCACTTTGTGCACACCTGGACCCACCACGGAAGTAAAAAGCAATAGAAATGGCATGTCCCTCCCCTCCATTCCCCCAACCCTGGGGTGGGGGGACAAACTGACAATCTTACATTCTTTAGGGCTGACTTTTACAAAATGTGCTGTCCAGAACTTAGTTCTCAAAAAAAAAAAAAAAAAAAAAAAAGCAGGAGAAGGGGCTTTTTGTGTTTGTGGTCAATTTTTTTTAAAAATTTCTCACAGAGATTTTTCAATACACATTAGCACATTAAAGGCTCTGATAAAACCTTCAATAAAGGAACTTGTTTAGTTTATCATACCACAGTCCTATTTGACCTTTTTCTAAAAAAACTTTTTTTAAATATAACACCCATTAAAATCTCATGGAATTATGACTCCATGGAACATGCTTTACAGATTGCAGAGGTATCATTTCATTGGTGCCTGGCTCTGAGCCCAAGGGGTCCTTGGAAGGTGGTATGGTAGAGTGGAGCACATACAGACTGGGAGCCAGGACACAAGAGGCCTCAGTTCTAGTCCCGCCTCTCCTCCTCATTGTATGACTTTGATCAAGTTACTTGTCTTCTCTGGCCTCAATTTTATCATCCGTAAAATGATGTCTAATGTCTATTTCAGCTCTGAAAACTTACCTCCATTTTCATTTTTTCTTAACTGCAGTTATGAAATTTTCAAACATAGAGAAAGTTGGAAGGATTTGTAGTTAACACCTATATGCCCCCCACAAGACACTGCTATGAACATTTTATTGTTCTTGCTTTATCACTTGTCTACCCATCTATCCATCCTTCTTCCTTGTGCAGTCCCATCTTTTTTTATGCCTTCTAAGGAGCAGCTATCAGTACATTTTACCCCTAAACTCATCACCATTTATCCCTGTTTCTGCAAATTAAAAACTGGCAGCCCAGAGAGGTCAGCAGTCCAGCCAAAAGTCGCACAGCTAGGCAGGGTAGTAGCACTTTGGTTCCAGCCCACTGCTCTTTCCTCTGCCCTGGGGCTCTTCCAAATTATCAAGCACACTTAGCAGTCCCAGATGCCTCCCGGGAGCTCCACATGATAAGGTTGCCTCTATTACTTCTCTCCTCCCCTTCAAGGGCCTGCCTGCCTTTTCAAATAGCTCTTGAAATCATTAGGCCATCAGTTTCAGAACTGGAATCTAGGAGCAGGCAGAGATGTTCACCATCTTGGCATTTGTTGTAACTGTACTTGACAATGACTCCCATTCTTCAAACTTGCTCACCTTCTTTAAGGGCAGACTATGGTAACTATGGTAAGTGTTCAATTACCCATGAAGTTCATGGAACCTGAGAAAGGACACATATTTTAAATGCATATGTTGGTGAAATTCTGTTCCTTCCAGACAGCACCTCTAGAAATAGCATGCAGAAAAAGCACTTTGGGGGTGTAAAGAGAACAGGATACAGGAGGAGGGAGACTGGAGTTTCTGCTCATGAAAAGCTCTCTTAGACAATACATAAGGATCATCAAGGACTCTGGTTTAAAATGCAGATTCTAGGACCCCAGCCTCTAGAGTCTGACTGGGTAGTGAGGCCTAGAATTCTGCATTTTAACAAAAATCCATCTGTGATTCCAGTGCAAGTGATCCCCAAATCCCACTTTAAGAACCCTTTTGCAGGGTCCCTACTAGTTGATGATCTAGATTCCTACTATTTCCAAAGTTAGACTGTGGCACACAGTAAGTAAGGCTACATCATACAAGACACTTTTTCCTGAGTCTTAAAGCATCTTCTGACAGAACTCAGAAAAATGAGCACACTTGTGACCCCTGAGAATAAGAGCAGGTGTCCCTTCCCACCCCGAGACAGCCCAGATGCATCTCTGTCATAACCTGGCAGTTTAAGTCTGCACCCATAGGAGGGAATTTAAGTGTCCATGCCACCAGAGATGATGGTCAAGGGCAAGAGCAATGTATGAAAAATGTTTATTAAATGCACTTATAAAAGCAGCTAACAAAGCAGACATCTCATGACTGGCCACGTCATTCATCGATTAGCACAGTACACAGGGACACCACACAGTCACCACAGCAGCAAAACACAATTAAGGAATTTATAGTTTGCATTGACTGATGTCTCATTCCAATTAAATGCAAAAATGCTAAGCACTTTGAAACCAGGATCTTTATAAAAGGCAGCCTGTGACGTCCCCTTATGTTGCCTGAAGGCACTCATAGATTCATCCAAGTTGATTCTGGCTCATAGAGACCCCAGGTATGTCAGAATTGATCTGTACTCCATAGAGTTTTCAATGCTGATTATTCTGAAGTAGTCCACCATGGCTTTCTTCTGAGGCAGCTCTAGGTGGACTTCAACTTCCAACCTTTCAGTTAGCAGCCAAGTGCACTAATTGGATGGGGATTCCACACCCATCACAAGGGAAGACCAAGTTAGGTGATGAATTTCTTTTCAGGGCCTAAAGAAATAAGGTTTAGAATCTGCAGGTGCTGACATTTCACTTCTGCCATAAAAACAATGACACATTCCAGAAGAAAACCTGGACTTGTGATTTCCTGGCACCTCCAGCCAAGTGTTAGTTTGTAATCAGGTCTGAAATTGGGGAGAAGGTAGTTTGGGGCATCAGACATGGGATTGGGGGAGGAGGACAGAAACGACTGAGCTTGAGGTAGCGTTTGGGACCCCACACACATTTGCTAGTCTTCCATAGGGGAAAGACCAGTAAACAGTGAAAAGACGCTCAAGGATGAGAGTGGGGAGAGGGTGTATTCAGCGGGGCTGTTGAAGTCAGTTCATTTGCTATAAACACAGACCTCTGGACAAAATGAGACTCAGGGTTTCCTCTAGAGCTTTCACACAAAGACAATGAGGAAAGTGTCCCAGCAGGTTCTGATGCCCAAGAAAAATTGGTGTGTATCTCCAGGATGTGTGTGTGATTTCAGGCTTTCCAGGAAGGTTATGCTCCTGGTCAGAAAATGTACTGTGAGCTGCTTGCTGACTGCTTGATCCCAAGTGGCCTCTGTTGACTGCTAGAATGGCAGCTTCCTGGGACCAGCAGAGGCTCAGGACATCTCAGGCTGGTGAGCAGGGAGGCCTGGATGCTAACAGCACCCTTTCATAGCTGTGTTTTCACCCAGTATGTCCTGGTGTCCCAGTAGGTGGGGACTGAGACCCAAACCAACATCCCATTAGCTTCCCAGAGAGCAAGGACTAGCCGGTATCAACACTGTGTGTGTCATAGTAACAGTGTGCAATGCCACCGAGTCCCAAGATGATGTTGTTTTCAGTCTCCAGTTAGTACTGAAGACCATATACTGGATTATTAAACTTTGAACATTGATAGTTTAGTGAACATCTCTCTTACCCCTTGAACATCTAGACCATGCTAGCTAACCCTTGTTCTATTGCTTTTGTGGAGGTGTGGCGGTGTGCAAGTATAGTGTATAACTGTTGTGTGTGTGTGTGTGTGTGTGTGTGGTGTATGTGTGGTGTGTTCATGAGAGAGAAAGTAAATGTGATGTATATATGTGTGATAGTGTGTGTGTGAGAGTGGGGGGTATGTGTGGTGTGTGTGAGAGACAGTGTGTGGTGTATGTGTATGTGTGTGTGAGAGCAAGTGTGTGTATGTGTGGTGTATGAACTGCACTTGTGGGGGGCAGAGAAGGAGAGCATGTTTTGGAGAGAGTGGATCTGTCACTTTTGTGAAGTGTTCTTAACCCATCCAAGTAAAACTATGACTGGAAATAAAACTTGGTTTAGAAAGAAGGCCCCAGAGTGCCCCACTGAGCTGATCAGTCCCAGACTAAAAACCTCTAATCGATACTATCCAATTTTTAACAAGTAAAGGTATCTCTTGGGCACAGTCATGCCCTGTCCTCAAGGCTGGCAGGACATTTAAGAACATGTTTACCAAGTTAGAATATCCTTTTGAGACCCTTGGTGAATTGCTATTCTAAATAAAAACAGACTGCAGGTATGATGCACCACTAGTGCCTTTACTAAAGCAGGATCAGGGTATCTTCACTGCTGCTACTTCTCCCATAATTGGAAACACAATAGCTTGCAGGAGTAAAAAAAATCATGAGATCTCTCTGAAGTGGTGAGTCACATAGAGAAATAAAAGTTCTGGGAAGTAAGAGATTCCAAGGGATTCATCCAGAAACCTGGTCTTCCCTTTAACCCTAGTCTATTCTGACTCATGGAAACCCCATGTGTGTCAGAAGACAACTATGCCTCACATATGTGGAGTTTTATATGGTCTTAGATGGCTGATTTCTCAGTAGATCACCAGGCTTTTTTTCCAAGATGCCTCTGGGTGGATTCAACCCACCAACCTTTCAGTTAGTAGCTGAATGCATTAACCATCTCCACCACCCCAAGAATTTTAGCCTTCGCCTTAAACAGCTGTTAAATATTGCATTTGTTTGTTTGTTTGTTCAGTTTTTATTTTTTAGCATGTATATTCAGTGGTTTTTAGTATATTTTATCAAAGTTTGTGCAACCATCACCCCAAAAAAGAAATAACTTGTCAATTAGCAATCACTCCCCATTCCCCCAATCCTTAGCCTCTGGGAGCCTCTAAACTACATTCTATCTCTACAGATTTGCCTATGCTGGATATTGTATATGAATAGAATCACAATATGTAGACTTTTGCAACTGGCTTCTTTCACCTAGCACATTGTTTTCAAGGGTCATCCATGTTGTAGAGCAAAGATGTCACTTTGAAGACTAAGGTGTGCCTGACCCAATCCATGGTATTTTCAATAGCCTCATATGCATATGAAAGCTGGACAATGAATAAGGAAGATCGCAGAATTGATGCATTTGAATTGTGATGTTGGTGAAGAACATTTAACATATCATGGACTGCTAGAAGAACGAAGAAATCTATATTGAAGGAGGTACAGCTGGAATGGTCCCTAGAAGTGAGAATGGCCAGACTTAATATATTTCATATACTTTGGTCACATTGTCAGAAGAGACCATTTCTTGAAGAAGGATATCATGCTTGGTAAAGTGGAGGATCACCAAAAAAGGGAAAGGCCCTCACTGAGACAGACTGACACAGTGGCTACAATGAGGGGCTCAAGCATGGCAATGATTGTGAGGATGGCGTAGGACCAGGCTGTGTTTTGTTCTGTTGTACATAGGCTGCTGATTCAGAACTGACTCGAAGACAGCTAACAATAACAGTGGCGGTGAAGCAGAATCTCATTATGGTTTTGATTTGCATTTCCCTAAGCATCTTGTCATGTTCTTAATGGCACTTTGTATATATTCTTTGGGAAAATGTTTATTCAAATCTTTTGCCCATTTTTAAATTGGTTTGAATTTTTATTGTTGAATTATAACAATTCATTATATATTCTGGATATAATCCTTCATCATATATAGATTTGCAAATATTTTCCACCATTTTGTGGGCTGTCCTTTCACTTTCTTGATAGTGTCCTTTGAAGCCTAAAAGTTTTTAATTTGATGAAATCCAGTTTATTTTTCCTTTGGTTTCTTGTGCTTTTGATATTATATATAAGAAACCATAGCCTAATCCAAGGTCACAAAGATTTATCCATATGTTTTTTTTCTAAGAATGTTACCTTTTTAGCTTTTACATTTAGGTCTTTGATGAAATGATGCATTTTGAGTTAATTTTTATATGTGATGTCAAGTAGGGATTCAACTTCATTCTTTTGCAAGTGGATATCCAACTGTCCCCACACCATTGGCTGAAAAGACTATTCTTTCCTCCATTGGATTATCTTGGCATCTTTGTCAAAAAATCAATTGATTAGAAATGTAAGGATGTATTTATAGACTCTCAATCCTATTCCATTGATCTACATGTCTACCCCTATGTCAATATCACACTGTTTTGACTATTGTAACTTTGTAATAAGTTTTTAAATTGGCACCTGTCAGTCCTCCAACTTTGTTCCTTTTCAAGATTGTTTTGGCTATTCTAGGTCGCTTGCAATCAAATTTGGGTTTTAGAATCAATTTGTTAATATCCGCAAAAAAGCCAACTAAGATTTTCATAGGTATTTTGTTGGAGCTATGCATCAATTTCAGGGATATAGTGTTGCCATCTTAACAATATGAAGTCTTCTGATCCAAGAACACAGATGTGTTTCCATTTATTTAACTCTAATTTCTTTCAGTGATGTTTTGTAATTTTCAGTGTACCAGTCTTGCACTTCTTTTGCTAAATTTATTTCTGAGTATTTTATTCTTTTTGATGCTATTATAAATAGATTTTTCCTTACTATCATTTTCATATTGTTCATTGCTAGTGTGCAGAAATACAGTTGATTTTTGTATATTGATATTGTCCCCTACAACCTTGCTGAACTCATTTATTAGTTTACTAAATTTAATGTCTTTCTGAAAGCATTTAAGATTTTCTATATGTAAGATCATATCATCTACAAATAAGAGTTTTACTTCTTCCTTCCCAAACTGAATTCCTTTTATTTCTTTTTCTAGGCCAGTTATTTCTTAGACATTACTTCTTAAACATTTTTAACTCAAATGTTAATTGGCTCACTGTGCCAGATGGTATCATAAATTAATCCCGTGGTCCTAGGGCTCTCTTCTGACAAGTTAGTACCCAAAGATGCTAAGACTGCCCACTCAAACACAAAAGCACTCTGAGGTCAGGAAGATATTAGCACCACCCTCCCCATCTGTGGCCCCATTCCCATTACTTATCCCAAAGCTCAGAACACTGGGCTTCCTGACCCAATTGCTCACCAATTCTGTACTTACTACCCTATGCAAGATCCCAGAATAAAGGATTTAAAAGATACTGGAGTGAAATTACAGGTCCAGGAGAAAAACAACCCATTCACCAGCCAAGGGCAGCAGTGAACAGAGGGTAGCAGATGTAGAAACTCAGGGGATTGTCAAAGACTACTTCTCCGCCCCATGGCAGAATCCCCAACTCCCCACTCAAGTGACCCCAATGTGGAGAGATACAATGTCTGGGTACCTTATACACATACATAGACAACCGCCAAGGGCAGACTGCCCATGTTAGCACAATTGAACCTCAAGGGGCAGTCCTGACCCTGGCAGGGTCACATCGTGGTTGGCTGGGAGCCGCTCCTCTGGCTGGAGCTGCGGCGGCTCAGGACAAAGGTGGATGAATTGCTCTTTTTGCTGACACTCGTCTCTCTGGCTCGGTTGCCCTTCAAGTAGTTGGTGGAGCAGCAGAGGAAGCGCTGCATGAGTTCATGGAAGAGGTGGCCCGTGAAAAGCATGTAGATCCAGGGGTTGCAGCAGCTGTTGAGGCTGGCCAGGAGCATGGCTATGATGAAGGCTGAGGCTGGAGGGTAGGGGTACAGGAAGAAAAGAGGACAGGGCCTCATTACTGGAGTGTTCCTGAGGTGGCAATACTCCCAGATCCATTTGACTTAACCAATGCTTCCTAAGTAAAAATCTATACATGTACCAAGTTCTAGGTCACCAGATGAAGTACAAAAGTGACAACGTTTGTCTACCTTTCATATTCTTAATCTAGGTATGACATCTGCCTGTTTCTCAAGCCCTGCCAGGATCATCCCAACCCTAGAACTGTCCCTGCCCTTTCTCCCATCACATGCTTACCTACTCCATAAATAACTGTCTCCTTTTCCATGAAACTAGAAGAACTGGATGGTGTCCAACTACCATTACTGATAGTTTTGATAAAAGACTCTATAGAAGAGTCCTGAGCAAAAGGATACATTTGACTCTTAGACTAAAATAACGAGGAATAGAAAACAAGAAAAAAAGTCCAGTAATACTGAATTCCTTGTTTTCTCCAAAAGAGAATGAAAAATAATAAGTGCTTTGATTGGGATGTGTAAGAAGATGAATTTAACTTTTGGAATTTTGGGTAAATATTTCACTCATAAGAAAAAAACCTAAATATTGCCAGTGACACTAAAAATAGAATGGCTTCAAAATCATTATTAAAAATATAAAATCAAAAAGGAAAATTAACATATAAAAGTAAAACAAAAATGGGTTATGGAAAAGTAAACTACACAACGAGAAGCTATGAAATGGGATGGAAGGAAGTGTAAAGAAAAAAGCTAAGGTTTTGTGGTTCCTCAAAAAGTTGAACACAGAACTATCATGTGACCTAGCAATTCCACTCCTAGGTACATGCCCAAAAGACTTGAAACAGAGACTCAAACAGATATGCATCCACCAATGTTCATTGCAGCACAATAGCTGAAAGGTGGAAACAACTCAAGTGTCCATCAACAGATGAGTGGATAAACAAATTGTAGTACATGCATGCAGTGGGATTTTATTCAGTCCCAAAGAGAAATGAAATCCTGACACATGCCGCACATGGATGAACTTTGAAAACATCATGCTGAATGAAATGAGTCACACAAGGACAAATATTGTATGATCACACTTATATGCACTATCTAGAATAGGCAAATACCCACTGCCGTCAAGTTGAGTCCGACTCATAGCAACCCTCAAGGCAAATACATAGAAGCAAAAGTTTATTAGAGTTGCCAGGCACAGTGGCTTGTGCCTGTAGTCCCAACTACTCAGGGGCTGAATCTGCAGGATGGCCTGAGCCCATGAGTTCCGGGATGTAGTAGGTTATGTCACACTAAGGTCAACATTAATAAGGTGACATCCCAGGAGTGGGGTGAAGGTTGCCTAAGGAGGAGTGAACCAGCCCAGGTCAGAAATGGAGCAAGTCAAACATTTATATTGGAAGTACCAGGGGCAAAAGGGAGCAGGGAATGGGGCATTATTGCTTAACCAACAGAGTTTCTGTTTGATGAAAAGGATTTAGAAATAGTGGTGAAGGTTGAACAACATGGTGAAGGTAATGAATGTCACTGAATCATATGCTTAAAAATGGTTGAAATGGCCAATTTTAGGTTTTATATATTTTACCACCATAACATATTTTTTAAATTATATGAAAGAAAGAAAATGAAGTTAAGGCTTGGGCAGAAAGATACCAAATTTTTATTTAGTTGTATATAGTTAAAATGTTGCACTGGTTGCTCAGTGGTCAAGCACTTCGCTGCTAAATGAAGGGTCTGCAGTTTGAGCCCACCAGCAGCTCTGCAAAAGACCTGGCAGTTTGATTCTGTAAAGCTTTACAGCCTTGGAAACTCTATGGGGCAATTCTCTTCTGTCCTATAGGGTCACTATGAGTAGAAATGGACTCAACGGCAGTGGGTTTGGGTTTTTCCTCATATACATATATTGTTATGTGGTATAACCTTACCTGGGAGCTCTGGTAGCATAGTGCCTAAGGCATATGATTGCTAACCAGAAGGCTGGCGGTTCAAACCCACCAGCCACTCCTCAGAAGGAAGATTGGGCAATCTACTTCCATAGTAATTGTTGTTGTTGTTATGTGCCATCGAGTCAGCCCCGACTCATAGTGACCCCTCCTTGGGTTTTCGAGGCAGTATCACTACGGAAGTAGGATTGCCCAATCTTCCTTCCGAGGAGTGGCTGGTGGGTTTGAACCGCCAGCCGTCTGGTTAGCAGGCAAGTGTCTTAGCCACTATGCTACCAGAGCTCCCATAGTGATACTGCCTCGGAAACCCAAGGAGGGGTTGCTATGAGTTGGGGCCGACCCAACAGCACATAACAACAACAGCATAACCCTACCTAAGGAGCTCTGGTGGCATACTGCCTAATGCATTTGATTGCTTACCAGAAGGCTGGTGGTTCAAGCCCACCAGCCACTCCACAGAAGGAAGACTGAGCAATCTACTGTAAAGATTTACCACCTCAGAAACCCAAAGGGTGTTGTTATGAGTCAGAATTGACTTGAAAGCAGTACGTTTGGTTTGGTTTATACCCTTACCTGCTTATTTAAGCTACTTGCCTCACTCTTTACATTTGACTCTTTAACCATTTTTTCCCATTAAAAATTAAAAAACACCTAGATAAACATCAACAACAAAAAAAGTGAACAGCTAATGAATTCCAGAGTAGCAACACTTTGTTATTATACCTCCAAGTCGAGAGCCTTGGTCAGGGGAGTTTGGACCACAACCAGCATTTCAGCTACCCTCTCCCTCAGTGGCTAGAGGGGCTAATGACCAACCTGGTCAACTCCTTGGGGGATGAATAGCTCTCTTGCAACAAAACCTGCTCACATTAAGTTAACAAACATGGAGGACACATTTGGATGTTTTTAAGTTGTCAATATCCTAATCATGCAAACACATGAGTCTCCAGCAATTAAATTTCAAGCCTCCACAATCAGCCAGGGGAAAGTAATTTGGAAATAAAATATAGGGCTATACAGTCCATTTTAAAAGGAAGCAGCAGAAGAAATAAAGACGCAAGGTGAGAAGTCCAGAATCTTTCAGGGACTGCCAAGCACAAGAGGTGGGAAAGGGGAGTTTCATGGGAAAAGACACTGGAAAGATGGCTTAGAGTCAGATTGAGGAGGATCTTGAATCCAGGCTAAGCCTGAACTTTATCCTATAGGAATAGGGAGCCACTGATGGTTTTGAGCAGGAGAGTGACCAATTCCATCTCAGCCTGCTTTCTGCACTTTATCTTGCTTAGGCTACAACACTGTCCTTTCTGATAACAAAGAAGATATTGTCCTTGGTATAATCAATTGATGCATGCACCTGTTAAAATAAAAATAAGCTTTTATTTCCAGAAGCATGTGACCAGCAATATTGGTCATTGAAATCACCACTCAAGCTGGCACAGAGTAGTACAGTTTCAAAGCAATCTTATCCCAATTTTATAGATGAGGAAGGTGAAGCTCAGAGAAGGGAAATTCTTCCCCCAGGGCACAAAGCAAGTCATCATTGTGCTCCCACCTGAAAGAAATGAAGACTCACTCCTTTCAAAAATAGTCTGGCATTCGGACATGTCAGGTTGGCTCCAATTAGTGAATCCTCTCAGTTCTAAGGCAAAGGCCAGGCCTTCCCATAGGCTGGCTCAGCTATCATCACAACAAGGTATGATTTGAGGTACTCCAGGGACAGGGCCACTTTTCTGTTCCCAAAACAAATTTAGTTTCCCAAGAGGTAAGCACTGCCTACCGCCCAATGGTGGTCTTCTAAAATCCAAGCGTGGGAAGAATACTTTGCCTTTTTTCAGATCAGACGGCTGGCGGTTCAAACCCACCAGCCACTCCTCGGAAGGAAGGTTGGGCAATCCTACTTCCGTAGTGATACTGCCTCGGAAACCCAAGGAGGGGTCGCTATGAGTCGGGGCCGACTCAACGGCAAACAACAACAACAACAACATCCTTCTTGGCAGAAGTGTCTCAGGATCTAGACCAAGGGTCAGCAAACTACAGCCCAGGGGCCAAATCCCAGTTGCTGCCTGTTTTTTACATAAAGTTTTATTGGCATAAAGCTATGCCCATGCACTTATATATTGTCTATGGTTGCTTTTGCTCTACCAAGACAGAGCTAACTAGTTGCAACTGAGACCATATGCCTCACAAATCTAAAATGTTTATTGTTTGGCCCTTTTCAGAAAAATTAGCTAACCTTTGATGTAGATACCTATAGGGCAGACAGGTGGGAAAGGGCATAGGAAGGGAAGCAGACAGACTGCAAGTCAATTTCCCATCACATGCCCCATACTATAGTTAGCAGAATTGTGTGGTGTTTTTGCTATAGCGTTATCTAGATCTGGGCATAAATCCTGGCTTTGCTACTTTTCAGCTGTGTGTTCTTGGATGAGTCAACTAACCACTCTTAACCTCAGTTTCTCCATTTGTGAAATGAGAATAATAAAAAGAATTTCTTCATAGAATCATTGCAAAGCTCAATTAGATAAGACGCTGTCATGGATTGAATTGTGTCCCCAAAAACTGTGTCAGCTCAGCTGGACCATGATTCTTAGTGGTTTGGCAGTTATGTAATAATGTAATCTGGCAGGTACGTAATAATGTAATCATACCTCATCACATGAGCTGATGTGATCAGCCAATCAGTTGTAAGGGGATTAGAGTGGGATGCAACAACCTTGATCAGGTCACAGCACTGATCCCATGTAAGGGGAGTGTCCCTGAGGTATGGACTGCATCACCTTTTATTTTATAAGGAAGAAGCAAGCAGAGAAAAAGACCTGACCACTACCGGGAAAGAAGAGCTGGGAATGGAAAGCATGCTCTGGAACCAGGGCCCTTGTGCTGAGAACCTCCTAGACCCAGGGGAAGATTAATGGCAAAACACATAGAGCTCTCCAAGGGATGCTGGCCTCACAGACAAAAAGAGACATGGACCTTCCTCAAGCCAACAGAGAGAGAAAGCATTCCCTGAGAGTTGTTGTCTTGGATTCAGACTTCTAGCCTCCTAAATTGTGAGA